CCAAGGGCCGAGACCATGTTCTATGTCTTTGGGAGCTCCGCTGTCGAGCAGAACGTGGCCATCGGTCACCTTTTGCAGAGCTGATTTTACGCTCCTGCTCCAGTCTACTTCGCACTTCTCACTCGGTGTATCTTTTTACAGAAAGCCGAGGGTAACATTGCAGGAAGGAGGAAAATGGGAGAGCTGTCTCAGCCCCAGGAGAGGTAGGGATGCGCCTTTCCCCACCCTGCTTGCTGACAATGACTTCACTGGCTTTGCACCTCCAAAGGCCACTGCTACTGTGCATGCTGCAGGCCCCGTGACCCACAGGAGGGACGCACAACTCCATCCAGGTACTACTTCTTTCTGAATTTCTGAAACTGAGTCAACCAGGTTCTCTACATACTCATGCTGATTGTTCTGAGGTTGGTCTCCTAAGGGAAAGTATGCAGCTTGTGTTTGTGGTATTTATTTTTTGTATCTTATATAGACTTATTTACTGTATCTTATATCTACCATAAGAACTACTTAATTGGATGTGCCCCTTATTGAATGTCATTAAAAATATAATATATATTGGAATTTTAAAATAGTAACAACAAAAACCAGTCACCAATTATCATGTTCAATGTTCGGAGAGCACATAAAAAAATGGTTTGTGATCTAGAAACTACTGAAACCACAAAAATTAAACTAAAATGCTCAGATGCTATCTTAAAACCAAAATCTGATAATGCTTTAACCTACTATATTTCTATCATATTGTACTTGATTATTTAAAAAATTGATTCTACTTTTTAAATGTATTCGGGTAAACAGAATAAAAATTTCCTTTGGAATGTTTTTATATCTTTTAAAGTAAATTATTCTGATTGATGAAAACTTAAATGTTTTCCATCTCACATTTTGTTTTCTTACTGTCAAACTGTCTGTTGGTCTTATCTGAAAACTGGACTATCCATCCAACATCATTTAAAAACTCCTGTAATTCCTTATCATTCCCATAGATCCTGACTAAATATAAAATATCCTTTTATCACAAAATAAATGAAAGTGGCAAAAAACTAAATTTAGAGAAGCACAGTGACGTCACTTTAATTTAGTACTGAATCTGGGGGTTTCCAAAACCTAAATTTCCATAAGCATACAAAGTATGTTAGAGAAGATTGAATAAAGTTTTCCTCATTTAAAAACTCAAATTAAACTGCAATTACTTAACATTAAGTAAACAGGAAAATACTGTTCTATGAAATTAACCTTATCTTCTTTTTACCCTTTTGTGGTGACCCATTGAAAGTAAAACATAACAGAGGTGAAAAGATCAATAACAAAGGTCAGTATTGCCAAAAGCTGCCGTTTCTTTTTGGACCAAATGCATACGCACTATACTAAAGGTGTCATGGAAAGAATCTGGAAATCAAGCTTCTGTTCAATATTTCAAACTGTCTTATTCACAGAGGAAGCCTGAGCTTCAGAGCTCTAGGCAAAGGGAACTACACAGGCTGTTCATCTCTTAAGGATGCCAATGGTCTCTTTTACCCTTTCTTGCTTTCTGCTTATTGTATAAAAGCAAAATGGCAACTTTTGGAAATAAGTTTTAAAATTTGTTAAGAAAATATGTTAAGAATGTTTTTCATAAAACTTTTTCACATCACCTGGACACAGGATAAAGACAATTTCACTAACATACAAAGGATCTGACAGAACCATATACACACACATAGAATATATTATGCATTAATCTCTAGTGCAAACACCATTTATAATTTTAATAGATGTAACTGCTTAATTTTAAAATAACAAATATATTTATAATTGCCACTAATAAACTGATAACATATGAAAACAATACTTAAAGCATTAATAAAAAGCAGAACTTAAATAGAAATGTCACCAATATCTGATTTATTTAGACTGCAATATACAACTAGAATACATCAAATGTATAATAAAAATGTAGTGTAGTTCATTACAACTTATATTTGACATCTGTATGCAACAGAACAGAAAAATCAAACACAGAGACTTAAAAAAGCATATACAGCTGCTTCTTAGGAAGGGGGACAAAGGGGTCTGGGATGGGAAGGGGACACTTTCATCATTGCACTCTGCCTAAAGTGTCTTAACTGGATGCATGCATAACTTTCTCAATCAAAAAGTAAGTGAGTCAAAGGGGAAAAAGAGTAAAAGATTTTAAAATAAACAACATAAAAGAATTCTAATAGGTATAAGCTGTCAATAGAAAAAAAATGAAACAGTATTCAAAAGAAGTGTTAACACTTTCTAACATCATCTAACTTTGTAGTCTATAAATTCCAATGTTATTCTGTACTTGTCAATATGAAGGTATTTTTTATGAAATAATGCTTAATTTTTGTAATACATAGTTTAAAAAATGAAACTTGTAACAGTTGACCACTATCTTTAATGGTTAAATATTAAAGAGAAAATAGAAACACAACAAAAGTCAAAGCTTATTAAGACAAATACATTAGAAAAACCTAGGTATCTTATATATTAGAAATCATTTTTAAGGTGAGCAATAGCCCATTTATTAAGAGCAATAACAGATATAAATACCAATATAATAAAATCTAGTGACTGTTTTTCTTTTGTAGTAGTTGGATCTAATCTCACTCATTTATCACCTACTAGCTGGTCAATAATCGAAGTTTATACATAAAGGTCAATAACCATTAGGTGTAGGCATAAAGCGTCCATGCAATAGCTACAGTTCTCATTCACATCCATGTTGACCCCACAAACACACGATACTCCAGCTTCCCGCTGCTCTGAGGTGCCCTGAAAAGGATGTGAGTGTGATGGCGGAGTCTTCACGAGCCAGCTGAAGACACCCGAGGGCTTCACTGGACATCTGAATGCAGCTCTCACTACCTTCAGAATTTTGTCTGTCAAGCTAATTTACAGAGCATGTAGTTACAAGCAAAAATACTTCATAATACATAACTAGAAGAGGTCTAAAGATGGGCTAATTCAAGATCCACCATTTCAACTGAGGACTTAAATCTAAACGCTGTGGGGTGGTGAGAAAGTGAATTTAAGGGCAGATGTCTTAAGTGTCCGACCTTGGTTCCTCCTCTTGGCATTCGAAGCCTTTCCTACAGCATAAAATGGGTCCCTAGGAAAATCACGTGCCTTCTCCTTGTACACAGAACTGGTAAGTTGTTGAAGCAAAACCATGATGACCGAAATGTGGTTCTTAACCCTGATTTCATATTAGAATAACCTGGAAATTTTAAAATTAAATTTATAAAAGTAGATTAAATTTAATTTGATTTAAACTGTAAATGCCTGGGTCTCACCCTAAACAGGTAGAGGAAAGTCTCAGGGTGTGGCCCGGGCTCAGCAGGTAACCGGAGCACAGCTAATTATTACAAAGCCCAATCTACATAATTTTAAAAAATGTCTTTGGACTATCCTCTCTGTTCTCATTGGTAAAGTAATATCAAGGGTTAATAACTACAAATTAAATCATTTTGGATAAGCACTAAATATATACCACAAGAAGGAGTAGGCCAATCAGGTATTTGGTTTTTATGAAACGAATACAAAGTGTCTCAATGAGAAAATATATATGTAAAAATGACAATGTTTTATTACTAACTTTAGTTGTATAAATTTAAGCACCTTTGGGAAGATTTATAAATAACTTTATAAGAATTCAGAGACAAGTAACAGGTAAAAAGCAGACAATAGGTTTGACTCTTTCTTTCCATGAACAGCCTGGGGTATGATGTAGAAACATAAAAGAGTGCAAAAGTAGATTTAAAAAAAAGGGTAGAAGCAGGAATCAGCAAAAGATTAAGTGTAATCATTAACTAAACAAAGAGAAATTGCTCTAATGCACTGCCACTTACTAAGATATGATTAATTTATTACGGTTTCTCCATCCTACTACATTTACATTGAAAACACATTAGTAAAGACAGACAATCACTGCCAAATGGTTACTGAATCCTCCCCCGGTCACTCAACCACTCTGAAGCTGGGTAGAAACACCTAAGACGATAAACCTGTTCTTCTCTGTAGGTTTAGAAAAGACCCCATGAAGCAAGTCTGGAAATTTACCAGGAAATTCAGGTTCTAGTCCCTTGAGCTCCTTTCAGCTTATGGATGTAAGTGCTATTTTTATTACACTTGAGTCTTAGAAATACGCTTATACAGAATCTGAAAGTGTTAGTTTCAAGAGTCAGAGGTGGACCCAACCCCTATGTAAACTAAATGTCTAAAATGTTGAAATATCAAGAACAGACACCACAACCAGTTCACTTACTTATTTCAACCCAAAGGGCTGACAACACTCGAGTCTCTTATGTCCAGAGCAACTTAGACTACCTCACACATCTACACTGGGCCATTCACAGAGAAAGTCTCTACCAAAGCAAATTCAATAAACTGAGAAAAACATGTGCTCAACTACAACATAATAGAGAATTTATTTAAAAGCTAATTTAAAAAGCTAAT